ACTGTTGGGAAAGGCCTTATGTTTCAGATTTGTTTGGGATTTGTGGAAGCTATGGAGGGAGACAGCTATGTGTCTCTACCCTGAAATAGGATTTATTTTTTGTCTGTGTCAGAAAACATGATTCACCAGGCATGCCAGGGAGAGCAGCACTCAGGAAAGAAGTGACTGTATCCCCCCAGGCCTCTCCATCCCTCGTGGAGATTCGGATCCTGGGAACGTGACCTAACAAAGCTGGATGTGTGAAGAGCACTAAATGGGGAGCACTGGGAACAAGCCAGGCCCGTGTGGGTCAGTGCTCTCCTTCACACCCCAGAAAAACTCTTTCTTCTCCGTGCTGTTACAAACCAGGTTTGAAAGCCCCACATCCCACGGCCTCACTGGTAGGACTCATCACAGTGCCCTGATGGCACCGTGGTTATCACACACCTCTTCCAAAGGTTTCCAGTGTGCTTCTCAGCCCTGTGGGGATTTGGAAATCTGTCTCTGTGGGTGGGATTCTTCCTCCACAGAGAGATGAGTAGCAAAAGCCACCTGTCCACATCTGTGACGGATTTAAGGGGCACAGGCTTCCTCTTTTCAGGCTCTGCTGGGAGCTTTTAAAATCAATTAGCTCGGAGCCCACGGAGGAAAAAATGCCCTCAGATCTCCCCCTTTGTGCTGCTGCAGAGTGTGCAGCAGGAGCAGCTCTGGAGACCCAGCTGTTCCAAAGGGATGGGCACTGAGACACCCACAGCAGCTAAAACCAGGGCTTAGAAGGAAAAAAAACCAAAGCACCCGAGTGTGATGACTTATTTTGCGAGGATTTGATGTAAATCGTGCTGTGAGAACGTGTCTTGCCTACTCAGGCTCCAGGAGCTGTGACACTCCAGCTGCTGGCACCTGACTTCCCCTGTCACCAGTTCATGAAGCACAGATCGAGACTGAAAGGGTTTTGCTTTACTAGACACAATGTTATTAAAGATTTATCAACAGCACCACAGCAGAAAGCTTTTCCTTGTGACCACAGTGTATAGTGGCCTGTGCTCCAAAATAGAAAGGGCAGCTCAGGATTCACCCAAAATGCTCTTTTACGCCAAAGCAGTGGCACTGAATTAACCTGAGCAGTGTTACTGCACGTCTGTCTCATCTCCTGCCTCTGCTTTCTTTGCATTTGGCATTAGGAACATCCCAGTGAAGTGGGTGAGTTGAATATAGGAACAAAATTATCCCCTGCACCAAATCCTACAGTTTTGTAGCATCATCAAGCTGGTTTTCAGTCACATCCAATCCCTGGGGATGCCCATGAAGCTCTGCACTGGTCCCTTCTGGCGCCTGGCAGAGGGTGGGGGCACAGTGCTCAGCACAGACACACCTTCTCAGCTGCTCCTCCTCCAAAAGGGCCTCAAAGCAGTGGGAAAGGAGGGGAGAGACTCTGGTTCCCACTCACCAGGGACAGACAGTCCAAGGAAAGGCACAGCATGATGAGGATCTCTCCTGCTGATCAAGTTATCTCAGGCTGGAGATCCTCCTCCACCGACACCACCCAGGGCCAGTTAAACAGCGTCCACTGCCAAGGCTCTGGGGCTCCTCTTGCCTCCCAAAGAGTGTTACAGCAGAGGATTGTATCCTCTAGGAAAGATCTCTTCATGGTTGTCCGGCCCTGGAAAGCCCAGTCACGAAGTCACCATCCCTGGAAGTGTTCACGGAACGTGTGGATGTGGCACCTGAGTGGTGAAGGTGGTGGTGGTGCTGAGTTGATGGCTGAACTTAATGATCTCAGATGTCTTTTCCAACCTTAACAATTCCATGATCCTGTGATTCTCCTACTCCAGCAACGAGCCACCTTTGGTGGGACCCTTAAGACAGGCCACAGAGGCACCCGGGCCAGGAGATCCCCCTTCAAAATTTATCAGAAAGAACAGGCCAGTAACAAATCTGTCTGCAAATCTCTTTCTTACCTGCAGTCCCTTTTTGGGTGGTCAAAGCCCCTTTGCACCAAGCACAAGTGGGTCTCCACACCAGCCTTCGTGGGCAGTGACTCACGGGACTCCCAAAATGACACCAAGCCAGGGCTTAACCCAAGGAGTCCTGTTTAACTCCGGATCACTTAAACTTATGTTAAGCAGAAAAACTCCAAAGAATCTTGAAAGGGGATGAAAACATTAAAAATCTTGCCACAAATACCCAGAAAAATTTTAACTGTGAGGGGGCAAGAGCCCAGGAGGGGCCGACAGGAGGGCAACAACGGAGGGGTTGGAAGGAAGCACATCCACATTAACTACGAGACAAACAGCAGCATCCTTTTCTCAGTACAGATTTTATTTCAGTTGAATTGCCAGCTTTATCCCATTAAAAAAAAAGAAATTCATGAATTTCTACAGGATTCAGGGAGATGTACGTTCAGAGACATCGTTACAAGGCACAGGACCCGGGAAGAGCAGCAACCTGCTCCTTGGCAGCAGTGCTGGGGCACAGCTGAGGCATGGAATAACATGGAATAACATGGAATACCATCTGCACACACAGAACATGTTTTCACTTGATTACAGTATGAGAACAATAACGACAAATGAAAGAAACAAGAGGAGTAGGTTTGCCTCGGGAGCTCTGTGAACTCCAGCCAGCAGCCCTGACAGAGCCCAGCGCATCCAGAATGAATCATCACTTCCTTCCCACTCCGGATCGCAGGCACACCATCCTTCACCAAGTCCTTTAAATAGCAGTCTGGCTTTAAATGGAATTGTGCAAATTCATTGTAGGATCTGTCACTTCACTTCCCAGCTCTCTGCACGCACGGCCCCATCGCTCTGCCTTAACCATTTCCATGGCTCAGGCCAGCGCCTGCACGTCAGCCTGGGGGTTATCCCATGGGATAGCTCTTGTCCTGGGACAGAGACAGCCCTAACATCACCACCAGGACAATCAGAGGCGGTTCAGCTTTCCCTTAAATCAAAATGCCCATTCACATGAAGAAAAACAGGGAGGGAGATGATCTTTGCCAGGTATCAGGAGGTCCTGGGGCTGAAGAACCTGGAGCTCATCCCCCTTTCCCTCCCCTTGGGATTTGTGTCCAAGTCTCCCAGCAGCAAAGGGGGACAGTTCCTGGTGGGAACAGCTGCTGCAGAGAAGGATCTGAGCTGGCAGGAGCCAAGGGCTCCATGACCTGCACATCCCACCCTCATCTCCTTCCCAACGGCCACATCCAGCCCTCCAGGAGAGCATCCCTGTCCAGCAGCCCCCTGGCTCCTTAGCCTGGAATGCCACTAAAGGCACAGTGCTGCAGGGATAAGCAAGAACTTCTTCAGGGAGCTGCACAAGGTGGTATGCTGGAAACACGCCTGCTTTTCCTTAGCTCCTGTGAAATTCCTGCCTGCAGCACAAGGAGGATGCAGCACTCACAAGGATGCCCCCACCCTCTGCACATGTACCCACCTACAACCCAGCCAGGACAACCTCCCTGCACGCAGAGTGAAGCACAGTTATAAATAAATACCAGCACAGTTTCAGCAGCAAAGGCCAAGATAATATTCTAGACTTGCCAGGGGAACTGAAATTCTGCAGCTAGGCAGCCTCATCCAAGACCCTGCTTGATTTATTCCCAAGTCCATAATGCTGGTTGCCAAAAAGGACCTGACTCCCACGCAGGTACACATGTGCTTCCTCCAGGAGTTGAAGATGGAACTATCACTGTCTGCATGGGCTTGCAGAGAAGCTTCTGAAAGAAAAATCTTCCAAGAATGTCTCCCAACCTATGCACATGCCAGTCTTACAGGCAGCCTCACCTTCCCTTTTGGAATTAGTAACTGGCACTCATAAAGGAACAGATTGTTTTCTATTCTTTGTTCTCAGGTCCTTTAACACTGGGATGAACCAAGACTCATCTTTTCTCTCTCCTCCCAGCTCTAAACCACCTTGGCACAGCTCATCCTGGATCACATTTTTTTTCCCCCTGAGAGGCATCCTCATCTCAAGCAACCGCAGGAAGGGAGGAAATACAGTTCTAGCCTTTAGTAAACTTCCCTGCACCATCCTGGGAAGAAATTTTTCCCTGTGAGGGTGGGCAGGCCCTGGCACAGGTTGCCCAGAGAAGCTGTGGCTGCCCCTGGATCCCTGGAAGTGTCCAAGGCCAGGCTGGACAGGGCTTGGAGCAACCTGGGCTGGTGGAAGGTGTCCCCTGCCTATGGGGTTGGAATTAGATGGTCCTTAAGGTCCCTTCCAACTGAACCCAGTCTATGACTCTCAGATTCCATATGGTTTCCATGCCAAGAAGGCACTGTTTAAAGGCACTAGGAGGACCATGTCCTGCTGCACAGGGTTAGATTGACCCAAGAGGGCAGTACAGCAAATTCTCATCTTCAGATTCAGAAAGGCACTGGTAACTTCTGCAAGCCTCAGTAGCAGCTCACAACAATTTGTAACCTGCTATTCCACGGGGGGTGAGCTAAAAACAAAAGAATCTGCCTGGCAGCAGTAAGGCCTCTGCTTCTGCTTCAAAATGAGGTGTCTGTCTTATTTGGAATAATGATTTTTGTGTGTACAACAGTACACTGTTCCTCTAATGAGGTTTCAAATTTGGCTTCAGAGCAGAGATTTAAAACCCCTTCAGCATGCAGAGGTAGTTTTTCTAGTCCCTCAAGAGGAGGCTGCTAGAGGAGCACCAGTGGAGACAGGGATGATTTTAAATGTTATAAACTTGATCTGCTTTGCTGGAGAAAAATAGAACCTGTTTCCACCTTAAACACAAGGCAAGGCAGGGAGAAAACAAGAGGCTATGATTAAAGCCCTCCCCAAGCTGGGAGGCAGCACAGCAGCAGCCACAGGGACAGCAGAGCCTCCTGACTGCCCAATTCTGTAGGAAATATGATGATCCCTCCCTAATAAGAGCTCCCCTTGAGATGGGATCAAGAGACACATGAGCTGGGGGGTGGGGGCAGGAAAGGAGTCAAAAAACCTGCTCTGCTGGGTGTTATTACTGTTATCACCTTCCACTAGCCCAGGCAGCCACAGCTCCTCTGGGCAACCTGCGCCAGGGCCTCCCCACCCTCACAGCCAAGAATTTCTTCCCAATATCCCATCTAACCCTGCCCTCTGCCTGTTTAAAACCATTTCCTATTGTCCTATCACTATCTACCCATATAAAAATCCCTGATGATGACATTTTAATAGCATGATTAAGGTTTAAAGCTGAAAGACAATTTTCAGTCTGCTTCGAAAAAAACACTCCAAATGACCGAAAATTTCACATGAGATCCTGCAGTGCTTGGTACCTTGTGCTGTAGCTGTTCATTCAGATGACATTTGATTCGATCTGGAAATTTCCTGACTGACTGAAGAGCCACAAAAGTGTCTTTCTCACCAGGTTACAGGACCGTGGTCTCCCCAAGCTCCTGCTGCTCTTGAGCAGTAACTGAGGAACTCTCCACAGCCCTTGGCACTGACTGGGGCAGGAGCAAGCTGAGAAACCCCAAGCTGCTTCACTTGCAGCCCAACTCCCTGCCTCTCCCTCAGGAATTTTACCTTACAGTGGTTTCTGCAAGTTTCTCGGGTTTCAACTCACAGAAGAGAAAAACACAACATCACCACGTGGCATATGAACAACCCCAGGCTCTTCAAGTATTTCTGGCCATGAAAAAGCCCCATGTCGTGGCACTTAAGTCACTGCAAAGTATCTTGGATTAGTTCCGTTTCTCAGACACACAGAGTGCAAAGCCCTTCACTGGGAAAGGCAGAGCTAAAGAAACCTTAAACATCTTCTTGGGAGTCTGAAGTGCTTCAGGCCAGACATTCCAGTCCCTGGGACCCTCTGTGGGCTGGGAACCAGTGCAGGGCATCCAAACCAGGGCCAGCAGGGTGTGACCAGGAACAGGCTGGGATGAGGCACCGGCAGGGAATCCAAAGCAGACACAAAGGGAACTGGCACCCATAAACTTTTTACACCTGAGCTCAGGGCAGGGAGTACAAAGGATCCAGACAAAACAGTTCCAGAAATGGAGATCCATTTCTTAGTAAGGCTTTGAGTGCATGTGTTTGTTTCAAGTACTTCTCTTAAATTAATTACCACGAAAGGCAGGCTAGCATTCTTCAAACAGTTGTGATCCTTCATTCCAGTACAAAACACATTTGCAAACATGGCTTTAGACCCTCACTTAGGAGATCCTTTTAAAGCTCGTATTAAAAAATACCTTTTTTTATCCCAACGATAAATATTTTAAAATAAGCATTTACAAAAATAAATGGTCTGTTCCCAGAGGGAAAGACATTTATAGCTGAAATTCTGAATACATCTGGAGGCAAGGCAATTATTGATGAAGCTAGTTAATAAAATCTTTGGTATGAGTACAGGAGATTAATATTTATGCACCGTTGGCTTCCCTTGGCAGGTTACTGTACAGACAAGCGAGGAGGCAGCTCTTCCTTAATCTCTTGATATGTCTTCCAGATACAACATACAAATATTTCTAACATGTCTTCCTATGATAATAGGAGAAAAGCCCAAGATTCTCCTGGCTCTTCCTACGACTTTTGTATCTAAAACAGAATGAAGATGGGAGGAAAAAGAGAAAGGGAACACAGTTAAGATTCATTCTTAGCGGGGAAGCAGCACCTGCAAAAAATAAAAATCGATTGAAAATAACTCTGGAGGAAACATTTCCTTCCACGTTGTAGAAATCAACAGCCAAGAGAGGAGAACAATGAACCTGTTGGGATTCACTGCTGCAGGTTCAGACGGGAAGAGGAGATTGGTGAGTTAGGGCTGGACCACCATATCCAGGGCTGGTGGCCCTGTTACACACAGGGCACTGAGATACTACAGAGAGTCAGGAAAGAGCCTCACAAACTGGAAAAAGCAGCCTTGCAACAAAACACTGGTTGAGAATATTTTTGCTAAAATTACACACTATGGACATAAAGATGACTTGAGGCAGAAGGAACTCCACGGGGAGCAAATATACAAAGTCAGCTGGCACAGAAACAAGGAGCTCTGCAGTCTGGTAGAGAAAGGTTGAACAAAAATGTTAGGCTGGATCTGAAGCCAGTTCAAATTGGGAGTAAGATACACACTTATAACACTATGGACGAGCTGGGATCAGGGGAAGGGATGGCATCCAAAGAAACACTCAGGGTTGGGCTTGAGGGTCTAAGGGTTCCCTCAGCCTCAAACTGTGGCACCATGGACAGTCCAGCTGAGGGATTCTGATCTGGGAACGAAGCACAGAGCCCAGACTTCCACAGCACCTGAAAAGTCCATCAACTGGTGCTACTCAAACCTACAACTGTGTGAAGGAAACCAACAGAGAACAATGTAATGTAACTGCTGTGTCCGGGGCAGGAGGAGCAGAGGGCACTGACCCAAAAGTGACAGGTAGAGCCAACAGCCAGAGCCAGCAGCAGGGGCAATGGCTGTAGCTGCTCAGGCTCAGCCAGTCGAGCCCACACAGTCCAGCCCTGGCACTGGCCAAGCTTCCACCGGCTCCCAGGGGCTGTGGGAACCAGAGGCCTTGGGTCTGTCTCATGACTGCTGGGAATCATGACCCATTGCTACAGCAACAGGAGCTTGTGTGACCACTGCCTTTAAAAAGAGCCCCTGTTTGTGGCATCCTCTCAGGCAAACCATCCATTATTTATACCCCAGCACGTCTGCAGTGCAGTTTGTATCCTGAGCTCGCTGATGAATGATGACACCTTGACCCTCCCCGCTGAGCCACGTCAGATCAGGAGCCCTCTCTGTCCCGTGCTGAGGGAAGGCAGAGCCTTCCAATGTGTTTCCTTTCCCTTTCCAAGAGAAACCCCCCCCCCCAGAGCAGCTCACCTGAGTTACAGCAATACCAAAACAGGGCAAGTCCTGCAGCCACGCTGAAACAGGCCAGGAAGAACACCGGGCCTGGAGAAAAGGCAAAAGGAAACACATTAAGGGCGGCAGAAGTTTAGCTTGCTTCATAAATCATCAGTTGCTATTAATATGCATAATTAAGCATATTCAAATGAAGCTAACACATTCACAATTCTGTATGTTCTGTGGCTAATGTTCTGTGAGGCATAATGGACTGCAATTAATATTTACTACCATCCCCTGTTCCCCTCTGCTCCTCTAGCTGCAGCCTGGGGAATTTAAGGGAAAGCTTCCTTAGATGTTTCCTCACTCTCAAACTTTATGCAAATCACCCCTTTAAACACCACAAGAAACACTAACCAGCCTGCGGGGCCCTCACCACACAGTGTGGCAATCCCACTCACAGCCCCTCAGAGCTACATCCTTAGGGGGCTTTCCTATTCCCCACAGATGTTCCACAAACTCCACTCTCGTGAGGAGAGCAGATACTCTTGTTCCTGTTTACAACTCTCCTGGGGGCTGAGATGAAGAGCCACATGTGCACCTAAAAACCAATCTCCCCCTGGAAACTGCCTGCCTGGAATTACACATTTAATGCTGATGGTCGGTACTGATGTTCAATAAAACCTTTCTCATTCATGCTCAGCCACTGACAAAACCTCATAAAGATTTATATCTGCTTCTTTATCGCCCAGTATTCTATTTGTATTTAAAACTTCTCTAGGAACAGAGCTACAATTAAACTACACCTGTCAGTTTAAGGACAAGTGTACTACTTCAGACTAACAAATTCCTGGAGCTGACACTGGAGAAACAGCAAAGGAGCAAGGATTCAGTTGCTCCTTCGGATGTAACCTCCCAGTGAGGGTGGCTAGAGGCCACTCTCCAGTTTGAGGACAGCTCAGGGGGAAAAAAAATTATAAAAGTAAAAATAAAATAAAATATTGCTTCATTTTCTTGTCTCCAAGCACTTTCCCTGCTCCTCCTGTACTGTTATGCTGCAGACAGCAACAGCAGTGTGAAAAATGTGAACAGCAATTTGGTTCCATATTCAAAGCAACACCACCACAGGCAAAGGTATACATTGAGTTAAACTCTGCTTCTGCCCCTTGTTTCAGTTTTCTCTCAGAAAATTGGCAAAAAGGCATAATTTACAGAAGGTATCTTGAATATCTCATAATTGTATCCAAAACTCTAAATAAAATATTAATTGAACTTAAATGATAAAGCAGAGCATTATAAATTCAGAAAATTCTTCATCTTTCTTCCAGCCCTTCCTTTTCAAAATATCCTACAGTGAATAAAACCTTTGTCTCTGTAATCTGGCACTGAACAGAGGGAGGTGAAAATAATTACCATGTTTCCTAAAGAAAATACATTTAAGTACATCCTTCCTTTCTGCCTTTGCTTTCAAATGATTTGTACTTATATTGGGAGCTCAAAAAGATGAAAAAAATTGAAAGTCATATTAAAAAAAAACCTGATGGCCTTATACAAAGTGATAGCAGCATCTGAATAGCCCTTACTGTTCAAGCATTGAAGAAATCACAGGAAATGAAGAGTTTAGCTGTAACAGTATAAGTAAAAATACCATTGTAAATATTGATTCAACTCCACAGTCTCTTCAATTTCCTGGCACTGGTTTCCTCAACAGCAGCTCAATACGTTTTACTCCATTAATTCTACTTAACTTGTGACAGTAAAGACATCATAAACCAAACTAGTTGTTACATGAAATGCAAATTACATGATAAAATAAATTGCATCATAATCTGCAAAGCCATTCCATCCGGTGACACTGTATGGTTTATTTACCCCTGTCATTTAGCATATATTGCTCCTTGCCAGTGTCTATCTCTGTGGGATCTGGGGTTTCTAGAAACAAAAGCAACACATGAGAAGTTAGTACTCAGCTCAAGCAAACAAACAAACAAACAAACAAACATAATCAGCACAGGCGAAATGGTGCATAACAACACATTTAAAAAAAAACCCCAATATTGACATAAGAGTTTTAACCCCTCCAAAGACAGATCATCACTGGAGTCAGAAAAGCTGGGGATATGCTGACCAAAAGACAGGCACAAAGTCACCTGAATGCAACCACAAACAGCTGCAGCCCCACCTATGACCTGCTTAAGCACTGAGCATATAAATAACATTACCCTTGTTTCCCAAGAGAGGAAAGCAGGAGCTAATCCTCCCATAATGCCAGCAATTTTCATGGTAATAAATACAAACTATTTGTTAATAGACACACTAATCTGAAAACGCCTTTATAATTTGATGTATTACCATTCTTTGTTCTTGAGCAAATCTCTCTGGGTATTGATGTATATAATGGACAAAGGACTTGGAAAAGGCCTCTTGGTGCTGATCATTTACCTAAATTCAGGTCTGGGCTAAAGACACGCTCAGCTTCTTTGCAAATCTGTAAGTTCTATGTGCTAACATTTGGCACAAATAATTTTTTGCCTCTTTCTCCAAATTGAAGTAGAAAAGGAGGTTGGCCTTAAGACAAAGTGTGCAGTAGTTTCCACTCTGGGCAGAAAGACCCTTTGAGAGCTGCCTTTGCCACACAGACGTGGAGACAGCACTGCAGAAGGGGTGTGCACACAGCAGTCATCAGACATGGCAGAGGAGTGACTTTCCTCAACACATCACCGATCTGCATAACAATATTTTCAGCCAAATCTCTTTGTGGTCATAAAAATCACAGAACCATAAGGGTTGCAAAAGACCACTACGATCACCACGTCCAACCGCCAAAGGGTTAAAAGGGTTAAAAAAAAGGAAAGGAAAAAAAGTGAAGGCTCCAAAGGTGGCTGCCAATAGGAAATAATTTGAGAATGATTGGTTTCAACTGATCTCCTTCTCCCACGCGACATCTGGGGCTTGCTGAGGTGCCTTGGAAAACTGCCCTGTACACCCAGGAAGAGGAGCTGCTGTCAGGGGAGCAGCCACCTGCCCTGCTCAGGATGTGCACCTCGGGGTGGGGACAGCACATGGAGCAGGACAGGAACCCCTTCTGTAAGGCCTGAGAGTCCCTGAAGTGAGAAGGATCGCTGCAAAGCCCCCATGGAGCACTCGGTGTCACTGGCAGCCTCCCCCAGCCTGCCCCTTCCAGGGGCTGACATCCTCCCTGGGAACTCCAGCTGGAAATCCTCCCCCTGCACAGGAGAGCACAGCCACACCTCTGCACTTCTCTCAGGATTTCGCTGCCTGGGGCTGGTCTGAGCCTTTATCCTTCTAGACTATGCCAGCACTGAGGGAAATAAAAAACATTTTCTGAGTCACCTGGAAGCTCCTGTTGGCCCTGAACAGCTCTGAGGCTGCTCCAACCGCGTGCCTTACCCCCCCTCTAGTGGGAATGCTCAGACATTACCAGGCATTGCGCTGGCAATTTACACTTCAGGCAAAGAAGTTTTGTTCTAGCACAGCTTTTAAAGCCGTTTTAAAAATGAAAAAGATTTCTTTGAAAGGATTTCCTCTGTAGAAAACATTTGTCATATGTACAGCTGCATGTAAGCTATTACAGAACTCCATCAATAATTACATCAATAACTCCTTATCAATAACTTCTCCAGGTGTTTGTAATGCTGTTTGTATCAGCTCAATCTGCACTTAAAACAAATCCCCCATGTTAGGGATTCTCCTCTTTCTTCACATTTACAAATTTTAGTAGCAATTTGGTAAATGCTCTGTGCTAAATTTAACAAATTTAACAAGTACTCCTTAAGAGTATTATGGAATCGTGGAAAGGTTTGGGTTGGAAGGGACCTCAAGGACCATCCAGTTCCACCCTCCTTCCACTAGAGCATTTCTTGACCATTCAATCCAGACTGCAGACACTTGTTTTAATTACAGAACTCATAAGAAGCAGCAAGCATATTAACACAATCATCTCAGTATTTCCTTCTCAGGTCAACAGAAGGAAATTGCAGAATCTCAGCACATGGCAGCATTTTAACCCAGACATTTAAATTATTCTCATCCTTCTGAGGATGGTTAACATAAGTGAGTGTACCAAGATACAGAGAATTTAATGACTTTTGATGATTACTGAAGTCCCTCTGCATAATGCAGCAGCAGCAAAACAGTTCTGGGGCACCACAAGCAGCTGGATGTTTAACACGAAGCACTTCCAGCACAGGGACTTGCTGTGCACACAGTCTGCACATGAGGAGCTCTAACCCTGCCTACTCACGGGGCCACCTGAGGAAAGCTCTGAGTCACCACACAAATCAAGTGCAAGGATGGGCACGTTTCTGCTGGGGCTAAAAGTGAAAACACCCCACAGATCCTACCCGAGTGTCCTTGGAAAGATACATTATCAGAAACTGCAGTCCTTTTGCAGCTTCCTTAACATATAAATGGAGGAGTTTTCCCTCAAGCTCCTCAAGTCATTTCAGTGTGCCAGGATGCCTGAACCGATTTCCCATCCGCTTGCAACAGTGTTCTTTTCTGCATTTCTTAGGTAGGGAAAAAAAAAAAAAGAAAGGCCAACACACAGTAGACAGCTTTATCCCAGGCTGGCAAGGCAGGCTGGAAATTTTCCTTGAAGAAAATAACTCCTTTGCAGTACAGAACCAAATCTGTTTGAGCCTCAGCCCTTACAAAGCACATCACAAGAGTATTTGGGGGGCAGCTTTATGGACATCAGTCAGCTGGACAAAACAAGTCCTAAGTGATTTTAATATCCCAGTCCATCAGTGCAAGGGCCTATGAATGTGTGTGCTTCGTGCTAAACGAGACACAAGGAGGAGATTTATGGACTGGGGGAAAGCCAAGCTCCTGGGCCAGCAGACATTTGAGCTTAACAAATTGGAGGTTTGGGATGTTTCTCCTGTGCTGCAAGTCAGAGTAAGCACAGAGGAAATAAACAAGCCATTATGAAGCAATGAAGAATGAAAGAGAAGCTGTAATTCATAGGAGTTATACTGCTGACATTTTGCACTTAAAACTGGTTTTAAAGACATATTTCGTATTTCAAAACAATCAGAGAGTTTTGCCCGCTCTAATCAACAAATAACAAGAGGTCAAATCCTCTTACAGCTTTTGGAAAACTCCAGTCACAAGGAATTAAAGTATACTCCAAAGTTTATTTAAAAAACCTGTTTATTTATATTATTTATAACCTGTTTAGGTTGTCTAAATAACCTAAACCTCATCTGAAACGAGGAAATTCACTGATGAGAAAATTCACAACTCAAATCAACTTACAAATCAACTTACTCAAGATCTTCCTACTTGGCAGGTCATTAAACAGCTGTTCAGCATTGATCTGCAGAGCCCTGTAAAACTCCTGACAGTGTCTGTCTCCTTTCTTTTGAAGGTGTTTTAACAGATCTGAGAGTCTGGTATGGAGTGATGCCCTTGGATTCCTGAACTGTAAGAGAAAAGCACTCATCAGAAGACAGATTACAACAGCTGGAGATCAATTTTACATCACTTTCCGGTATGCCAGGGAGCAAAGATTTGGAGCTTCTTTTATATTTTAAAGGCCAAAAAAAAAAAAGCAGAACCTCTAAAGGACATACATGCACTGAGCTCCATATGGTCAGCACTGCCTGATGGAGAGGATATTGCCTCTGCTTCCCCTCATGCTTTTTTCTGTCCTGATCAAGGGAAAGCCACTCTGCATTTGATGTCTTCCCTGGATCCGAGCTAACATGGTACTTGCTATTCCACAGTTCCGTTCTGACAGCTGTTGATAGCAAATATCGTCAAATCTTATGAATAAAGCTTGATGTTTTCAAGTTTGCCCTTAGTAATGATCCCCAAAAAGGCACTTTATACTCCTTATCCTAGTCCCAGTATTGGAGTGCTCATCATCCCAAGATTACACATTTCATTGTCTTTGATTCCAGCACAATTAACTGCTGAGTGCCCAGTTCAACAGGTACAAATTCCCATTCCTCAGGGGACATGGCAAGCAGCTGCAGGGGAAATTCCCTCTTTTCTGTAGTGCTGAATGTGATGAGTATTAGGAGACAAGTTTCCTAAACACTCAACAGAGTTGACACAAACTTGCCTGGACCCAAGCAAAAGCAGCTCACTGCTGTCAAAGGGCAGAACTCACAAATCACATCTCACAGTTTCTTTATGTCTTCCTCTTGAAGCTCTTGAGGGAATAAGATGATCTTGTCTTGCACATGTCATATTGGTTATCATAACTGAGTGGCAAGACTGGCTCAGCCGATGATCTAGCTCTGCTCTACACCACAAAACACTAATTGTACCCACAGGGTTTGATTATGGCAGAATTAGACCCATTTTTCTTGAGGTTAAAATACTGATATGCCCAAAACCCTGAGCCTTGTGCAGACAGGAAGCCAGCAGAGGGCAAGTACAAACTGTTACAAGCAGGATCAGGGAAGCTCTTTAATTTTGTCTCCACACAAACTTAGAAGTTCTTTCTTTTTAAAAACAGCTCCCATTTTTTGAAAGATTCATGCCAGGGAGGGTGGCCTTCCTTCACACGTGGCACTGCAAGATGCTACTAACTCCATCCACTTCCCACAGCTCCTGCACTTACTGGTGGGACTAACACCCCCTCCTTCTCTACCAATACTTAATTAGTTACTAAAACTGATTAAGCTGAAAGAGATGATTTTGTGGACAGGGCTGGTTGCAGCACAGATCACCTGACGTGACACCCCCAGGCTGCCCCATGTGAGGAGGAGGCACGTGGGGCACTTGGTCACAGGATGGTGAACTCCTGCCTGGGAGGGTGCGTGCTCCCGGGCACGGCAGGGACCCTGGCACTCAGCTGCTGCTGCTGGGAGAGTGTCCTCTCTCATAACCACTTGGCCCAGGGAATGTGCCAGCCCTGTGACTGCTCCTCTCACATGAGATCCCAGATACAACTGGTCAGCAAGCAGGAGGTGAGGAGGACTGGCTGCCTGTGGGGAAGAGCTGGGCCAGTGACCCACAAGAAAACAACACAACAGTCAGAGACACAGCAGAACTCATCCAATTACCTTTTCTGCTTCTTCATTGGTAAGAATTTGGGGATAGACTCTGTTAAGCTGAAGAATAATTTTATCAACCACTTGCTCATTCAGCCGGCTGGTGCTTGTAAGGAAATACATGTCGTGCTGCAGCCGATGAGAATATGACTGATCTAGAGAAAAAAACAACACACAGAATAAACCACAAGCCGTTTAATTAACAAGCCGTTTTTAAATTCTGTAAATTTAATTTTCCTACCAGTGATTAAATAGCCTAAAATAAAATTACCACCACCACCTAATTTTAGAAAGCTGAACTATCTGTTAGGGAAACACAACACAGCCACCTGCTTCCAAAGACCCATCCACTTGACATGACACACATCCAAACTCCTGGCTGGTCAGTCCTGCTGCCTCTCTCTTTCCAAAGGGAGAAGGCTCTAAATCATTCAGAAGTCAAGCACTTACGGATATTTAATCAATCACTGAAGATAAATTTTCCATCATGTAGGAAGGCAGATTATGACACTTAAAAACTGATGTGTTTTATAACGGCATCTCTGCCAAGGAGCCATCAAGGTTTTTAGGAAAGGATTTCACACAGAAAGGGGAGAAAGGGCATTCAAAAAGCAGTACATTTTTACAGGGAAGTACACTCAAAACACACACAAATAAAACACATCTTTTTCTACTAACCCAAACCTCTGCAAACACACAAATCCAGACTTGCTGTAGGTTTAGGCATCATACCCAATTTGTCAGCAATGGATTTTGCAGGAGCATAGCTTTCCCTATAGCTGCTTGGTCTGTAATCCCTAGATTAAGATACAAGCACAGACTGGTTCCACAGGTTACTGTGCCCTTATCAGATTTAAAAAGAGAACATCCATGACCGTGTTTGAAATGAGTATTAAAATGCCAGTACAACGCTTTACAACTGAGCAGCACAGAAAACAAACACAGAACACCCCCACACCCCCAGCCCTTTCTCCATTTAAAGCAAAATGCATAGGTTTTATGGTATTCAGGCTACCAGAAAATACAAAACCATCAGCCCCTTGTGCCCTGCAACTTAGAGAAGATAAACAAAAGAGTGAAAGAAAAGAGCCAGCAAACTTTGCACCTACACACAGCCTTTGCCCTTCGTGTAGTGTGGCTAATTTGGGTACCACACTGTCCTTTTCGTGTATCTGTGTAGCACTGACAGCATTTACAGGAAAACCTCCCTGAGTGACCATCCCTTACTTCTGCAGTGCCAGTGTCACTCCTGTTCGAACAAGAACACCCCGCTACTGATGTAGCACAGAGAGCACAACAGGATTCCAGTTACATTCTTCATTTTTATGCAAACACCATTTTATTTCCATGTCTTTCTGATGCCTCACTTTTCCACAGCTTGCTCCAAGGCAGCTGTTAAGTGCACTGTCACAAAATTTGTGAAATATTTGCTGTGCTGAAATACTTCCCTCTTGCTGCGAGAAGTTCCAGGTTCTCCTGGATTCAGGGCTGAGATCAAACTTGTCTTCAAATCAACACACTGGCATGCACAAAGGGCTGAGGCAAGGACCAGGAGGCCATAAAGTTGTGTCTGTTCGTGCAAATGCTTTTTGGGTAATGAAGCTCCCCAAAGCATCCTCCCCCTCCTCTGCCTCAGCGACAGGATTTGTAGTGATTCTCAGTGTCACCAACAACTCTGCACCTGCACTTGGACAGGACACGCATTAAACCAGGGTCTTACAGCCCAGCAATTAAAATCCAAACAATGCTGTGACAACCAACCAACCACAGCAAGGGCTAAACGTCCAAAAGAACGAGTACACAAAGTGAAATAAAAGCAGGCTCACAGTGCCACCTCCTCTCTGTTGCTGCCCCATCATTACAGTGTCCAGACACAGCGAAGGGAATTGGGACCAGCTGAAGATCCCACTTAAGCCAAGAGCACTTTCTGAGCAGTCCCAAGCACTCCCTGTCCTCCTGGTAGTTTCCATCTACACACACTCAGTAAACCATCACCTCACACGACAGTTTATGAGCCCTACCAAGGTCTTCTTCTGCCACCTCAAACTCCAAATTACAGGGCAGAGGCCTCTCTGGGATTTCAGGGGCAGCTACATTTTCTTACCATCTGAGCCACAACACAGGGGCAGAGAATGGGACCACGCTTTTGGCCTCTCTGGCTACTGCTAAGCTGTGCCTGCCAAGGACATGTTTAATGCCTGGCTTAGGCACCTGCAAGATGCTTCACCCATCCTATGGGATGCTCTGTGTTTAAGAAGCCCCCGTGAAACATCTCCTGCAGACACTTCCCCTGCCTGCACCTGCACCTCCTCCAAAGTATGAGTTCAGTATTTAAGGACGAGGTGCAAGGCTTAACGTTTCCTGAAGAGCACTTACCAAGCTCAACACCAGCTCAATGGAAGCAGAGCAAATGTATCTCATCCTTCCAGTATCTCCCTTCTCTCTTCTAAAATCTTTTGGCTTTTCTCTAATTCTGAGAAATCTCTCTCCAAACCACGCAAGGAACTGCCTTCAGACCAGAGAAGGGGAACTTCCCACCAGTGCAGAACTGTAGCCCCAGCTACTAAATGTAAAGAAAACGAACAGAAAAAGCCCCACCAATCCTAGCAGCTGGAATATGGCACCCTGCTGTGGAGTGATAAGGGTATCTGCACAGCACACGTGGGCATTTGAAGGCTCCTGGGCCCACTTTGCCCCAGGAGCTCTGGCAGCTTTGTCACCGTTCCCCTGCACTACCAGGTATGGCTGTGCTGGGAGGTGCTGTGATCACTGCTCACAAGCAGCAGCTTTTTAATAGAACACACCTTCATTATGAACATTTTTTAAGTAACAGGAACCCCAAACCAGGTGACTTCACGACTGCAGCAAAGCTACTGATGTGAGGCCAGGTCTAAAGAATTTAGGGAGGGGTTGTTTGGGATGTTTTGCATATCCAGCTTTTATCTCGCTGCCTCAAAGAGACAACAGCTATTGCAAGGACAATTAAAAAATCTTTATGCTAAGGAGACTGTTTTTAAGCAGGACTCACCCAAGCATTAAAGGGACAGTAACGCTGTTAGTCAGTACTTGCCTAAAAATTTCAGGGCAGCAAAACTGGGAGACCAGTGAGTTTACTGCAGTTTAGTGCACAGGTGTGCCACTGCCAGGCATTTTCATGTCCCCAGACTGCACAAGGATTGAATACAACTTCAAATTTGAAGCAAAACACACTACAGTTTCACCTTTCGCTCTGCCAGAACGTTAATCTAACTGGGCTTATCCTGTCCCACAGTCTTTGGAGTCAGGAGCAGGTTTGCTCAAGTGTGCAAGTGCTGTGGAGGAGGTGAAGGGCACTGAGTCAGCCCTGCTGAAGAGCAAATACAGCTCAGATTGGGTACCATGACGCTGAACCTGACCTGCTTTAAAAAAAGTTGGTATTTTCCTTACTCACAGGAAATGTAAACTTGTCAAAGAGGCAAACAGGAAACTCAGGAACTGTCTTTGATAGTTGGGAAGAAAATGTGTTACTGATTTATAATTACTAAAAGCCTGTGACACACCACACACAACCACTTTTTTTCTGCTAACCTAAGTCCAAGCAGCCTCTGGCACACAGCACAAGCACTCACACCAGTGCACACAACCTGCACCTGACCACACACGTGGAAGGAAAGGAAGGACGCATAAAATTAGGAGATACCAGAGGAAAGCAGCCAGCAACTCCTCAAACAGAGGACAAAATAGATGTTAAAATAATTATAACATATATTAAATTTGTAATTTATAAATTACCAAATAGATTATAAAATACCATCACTGATTTAGTGATGATAAATGCACCAGCAACAAGTGACAGTAACAAAGCAGCACACTCACCATTTTCCACCTGCAAGTACAAGTCACCCCCAGTGAAACCCTTCATAAAATGGCATCTCTCGATCCTTCCTTCCAAATGGGCAATTAGGTTTCTGTCAGTGGTTTCAGAACGACCCAGCCACTACACAAACTGCTGGCACTGTAAGGCTGCTGAAACATATTCTGCTCCTGGAAGTAACAGAGCTCATAAAAACCCTGATCAGATGTGACCACAGCGAGCCAGGCTGTGACCACAACATGCCAGGCTGTCTGCTACAGCACCGGCAGGAAAAATGGCAGGGGTGACAGGGACACACTCGCTGAAGTTCTTCCTGATTTAACAGCAGTGTTCACAGGGAGTTTGTCAGAAGCAATTCCTAACCTAGGCATGGGCAGCAGCCAGGATGTTGGACGAGCCTTTGCACTCCTGCTCAGCATGTGCTGAGGTGTCTGGTCCCTGAAAGCTGTCACTCGCCACTGGCACTGCACAAACCAAGACTTTCAGGTTATCCTGGTTGTCAAAAACCCCTTTGCAAATTTGGTTCTGCCTAACTACTCTTACCATGAAAGACCCCACGCTGCTTTCTGTACCAGGAAGATCAAATGGGATTTTGTCTCTTGCAGGAGCACATGCTGCTCCACCATCTACTTGCACTGCCCTTCTGGATAAAGCCACAAGGCCCGATGGATCTGCCACTGCAGGCTTGGGTCTGCATTGCCATTTGTATTTATCACAGTAAATTAATAAATCCAGCTGCATTCAAATTCAGAGGCTGAGATCAGCCCCTCCTTGCCACACTGGAACAGGTCACTCCTCTCATCCAGGCCTGGGAGTGTAAATGCTGCCAAGTGCCTCATCAGGCAGGTACACACCCCCAATTAGCAACTCCACCAACATTTACATAAGGACTCTTGAGACTGCCTCTGACACCACGGTATCTTTAGTACGGTTTCATCTTTGGTTTGCTTTCCCCTTAAAGGCCTCCTTCAGTTTACCAAACAGACAAGCTCATCAGGCAGATAAATTTAAACACACGAGACACAAAACCCAACACAAGTCTCTGACGTTCTCCATAACAACACACAGAACTTGCAAACATCCGTTCCAGAAACCTCACTGGTGTCTGCTGTGCAGTGCAAACACGAGCTGCCACTTCCTGTAAAACTCCTGGATGATTTTCATAAACTTTAGACAGGGAAGCTGGCAAACGCCACCTCGAAAGTTTGGATCTGATGATCAAATCATCTGTACGTGTCCCTGCAAACTCCTTGTTGAAGCATTTCAGGAAAGAGACGAAAAAGTCTCTGTCTCAACAAACTGTTAGTTTAACACTAATTTAGTTCTGGCTTTTCCCTTTCAAGAGCCCAAGAAAGGGATGCTGAGGATTTCAGAAGGAATCTCTGGCTGCAGAGAAATGGTCTGAGATGATCAGATGGCACTGGTTACTGAATGCACCCCCGAGGAAGAGCAACTGCTCTGCTCTTCTTGGCTGGAAGGGCGATACAGAGGTGAAAGACAAGATGCCACCCTCAGTCACTGCCACTCGTTACTGGCAAGTCACCAGAAGCCAAGAGTCTCTGACAGCAAGACACAGAATCATTTCTGTTACTCTGACAGCACGTCACAGAATCATTTAGGATGGAAAATAAGCTTGACTACTGAGTCCAACCATCAAACCAGACCCACCACGGTCATCACCAAACCACGTCCTCAAGTGCTACGGCCAAACATTTTCTGAACACTTCCAGGGATGGTGATTCCACCACTGCCCTGGGCAGCCTGTGCCAGGCCTCGACAATCCTTTCAGTGAAGAAATTTCCCCAATATCCACCCTAAACCTGCCCTGGTGCAACCTGAGGCCGTTTCCTCTCATCCTGTCACTTGTTGCTTGCGAGAAGAGCCCGACCCCCACCTGGCTACAGCCAGGAAGTTGCAGACTTCAGCAACTCATTTCTACCTGAAGCATCTTTTAAAAACAGAAGATTTAAAATAACAACAGTGAGCAGAACACTGAAAGGCCCTTAACCCCCGAGAGTGACACCAGGTTACACACAGCCCGCGGGCCTCCCGAGCTCCGAAGCAGCAGCGCCCCCGAGCCAGCGCAGGGGCCGGACGGAGGATGGGGGTGCCCGGAGCGGGACCCGGCAGCGCCCGGACACGCCGGGCTGGGGCCCCGCACCCTGCCCTGCCCTGCCCTGCCGTCACCGCCCCAGCCCCAGCGACCCACGGCCCCGACCCGCGGCCGCGCAGCCAAACCCCGCGGGGAGGCCCCGAACCCCCCTCCCCGCGGCCCCGGGGGCTCCGTCCCGCCCGTCCCCCCTCCTTCCCGGCCCGCACTCACCGGCCATGGCGGCCCCGGCCCCGCCCGGCCCGCGGGCTGCGGCCTTCGGCCCTGGGCGGCCTGCGGGCTGTGCCGGGCCGGGCCGGGCCGGGGCGGGGCGGCGGGGCCGGGGCGGTGCCTCCGGGAGGCGGGACGGGGAGCCGGGATGGGCTGCGGGGCCGGGCCCAGAGGGGGGTCACTTGGGCCCGCACCCCCCGGGCCCACAGCGGGCACCCCCACGCCCCGTGGGAAGCCGTGGAACCGTGACCGCACACCCTCACGGCCGCCGGGGCTTGAGACGATTCACGGTGGCACCATGAGGAACGCCCGCGATTTTCTTTTCCCGCTCCCCGCTGTCCCAAGTCCGCACCTTCCCGATATCCGCGTTTCTCCCTCGTGCCGCAGCAGTTGCGGTGCAGCTGCAGCGGGTGAGGCACATTCGGCCCGGACAGTTCATGCACCGTCAGTAATGCCGCGGTTTCCTTTCCCACTGCTGGTTTCACTGTCCGAAGTACCACGTCTGCATCTCCACAATACCCACGCGCAGTTCGATGTTTTCCCTGTGCAGTTTTAGGGCAGCTGCACGTCTGGCCCCGCAGTTACTCAAGCCCAGGGGCAGGGGCAGCTCGTCTCATAGAGAAGGTTGCAGTGAAGCATCTAATTAATTGGGATATAACAACTTCACGAGGGAAGAACTACAAGCAAATGTGTGGATTTAAAAAAACCCTGTTTGCGCTAAATTTCACCGTTTAATTACCCAGCAAGGTATGGAGGACAGTATGCCTTGCTAGGGATAAATGCTGCAGAGGGTTGAAAGTGAACCTCGGTTCTGAACGTTGTGAAGAAAGGCATACATTATTTATTATTGCGGGGGGGGGGGTTGACTGCAAAATCTGGTATTTTTTTTAATTGTATAGAAAAGGTGGCTTTCTACTACGGCAAAGACACAGGGTTATTTCTAATTAGGACTGTGTCAAAACCATGAAGAAAATGTTTGAGACAGAAATCCTCCAGAGGGATTACAATCACAGTAGGCAAAGGTGCCTCCAGATTGGTACATAAAATACTTCAACCACACAACTGCCCTTACACAGACACTTCTTATTTAAAATTTGCCTATATATCAAATCCTCAAGCAGCAATTTATATGCTAAACTAGGAAACACCCATTGCATGCATGATACTTGTCCATATGACCCTGAGAGGTTTGCCCTCGTTTGCCTCTGTGCTATTTAATCATGGAATCATAGAATTGTTTTGGTGGGAAGGAACCTTAAAACTTATCTCGTTCCACCCCCTGCCATGGGCAGGGACACCTTCCACTAGCCCAGGTCGCTCCAAGCCCCATCCAACCTGGCCTTG